GGGTTGAGGAGGCTGCTTGTTCGGCTTGGTCCAAACCAAACGTGTGCTAAAACGAGGTGTGTGTGTGGTTTTGTTGCATTTATTTACTTATTCATTAATTTTCTTTTCTCCTCCCATTCGATTTATTCGATCGTTTCCTTTCTCTAGTTATTGAAGTATCCTTTCCAGAAACGCTCCCTCCGAACGTGGAGCGGAGGCTCGGCGCCGGCCGAGGTGGACGGGGTGGCCAGCGCCAGCGGCCGGCCCCCGTCGCTTTTACAGCCTTCCCAGTTGCACCGCCTGAGCCCATGGCCTCTAAGCAGCGACTGTGCCCTCGAAATCATGAAGCTGACTTAAAAATCGTGCAATTATTTTTATCTTGCTCTTTCTCTTTGCTTTTTCATCTGAAGTCAATATTTCCAAGCGCTATTCAGCACCTGCCTTTTTTTTTTAAGAAAACATAAAACATTTAGTTCTCAGGCAATCTCTTAATACCAGCAGAAATGACTTCCTAGTGACAGATGATGACTTTTTGGCTTTGGACAAAATAAGGAGAATTGAAAATCTCTGCCTAGTAATATAAAGGAACAGGAGAAATATTTTACTGAATATGAATTTTACCCTGGCAGTTTCCTTTCTGTTAATACAGATATTTTTTTTTTTTGCCTTGAAGACAAAACAATTATTTTTTCCATCTTTACATCCAAAACAAATTAATTGTGTCTATCCAGGCAGCCTTTGTTGCTGGAGTTCATTAAATAAAACACAACGTCTGCTCTGTATTTTGGTTGATCACAGTTCAAATTATGCTGATTTGTACCTCAAGCCACCGCAGGCTGAAAGGACTGCACCTTCTCGCTAATAATAGACATTTGCTCAAGAGCAGTGATAATTTTCCATTACTACTCTTTTTAGGATGAGAACAAAAACTGCTTTTTGGGCTGCTTTGGGTCACGCAAGGAGCCATTTGGCTTGTGGAGTGGGCCGGACGCCTTGTTAAATGTTAGTTTCTTGTTTAAATGAACGTTCCTGCTGGAAAGGGGCAGAGTCTCGAGGGTGGAAGTCACCAGGGCTCCCCTGAGTTTGCTGGACCTCAGCTGATTTGCACCAGCTAAGCCGAGGCAGAGTGGTCCTCCAGGGCAGCACTCGGGGCCGGACCTCTGGCAGGCTGCTCTGCTGCACCTTGGCTGCGTTTTGGCCCTGGGGGGAATAACTCCTCTAAATAAAGTGATTGCCATCTAAAATTCATCCTTTACCTGCAGCTATCGCACTGCTGTCTCTGAAGCACCATAGCCCATGCGGGCAGAGGGGCTTCCTGGATGGCCAGGGGAGGCTAACGCTGTGGCTGTGAACACTGCTGAGGGCTAGCAAAGAGGTGGTCCAGATCCTTCATGTGCCTCATGACCTACTGGCCCTGGATGGATGGATGGATGCCATTTTCCAGGCCAGAAATTGCTGTATCTTTGTGATAGGTGGTTACTTCTCTGCACACAGAAGGTAAAGTCTAATAAGACAGTGCTCACTTTGAACTTTCATTCTAAAACTTTATCTCTTGTTGCTGCCCCTTTCCAAGCTTTTTGACGAAATAGAGCAGAATGTGCGTTTATGCCCACTATCACCACCTTTCTGTCCTGTGCATGATGGGTTGTTCACTACCAAAGCCATGGGAAATAAGGGCTGTTGACCCCTTGCAGAAATGTTGCTGCGCTTCACTCAACCAGTTCCCATCATTTATTTAATTGCTTTGCTGAGCTGGAGTAGTCTGTCTTTATGGATGCTCTTAGCCGACTTTAGACTTCTGTTGCTATAGTTAGATCTGCACCAAATTGATTTAAACTAGACAAGTAACTGGGTAGATGAATCCATTTGGTTTTTGAACTGTCATGGTCTAGATGGCCTTACCACTATCCAGTTTTCTCAGATAGTTAGTACCGTAAGAGAATACGGTTTCCAAGTGAGCCCATCCCTGGCTTATTCATGGCCAAACCTCTTTACAAGCATGTCTCTATATCATTTCTGGATGCTTTGCCGAAGCTTATGCTTTAGCTGAATGGGAGCCCGTGGGCTGGTCCTACTGAGGAGGTCGGACCGGCATTGGATCGAGCTGCCAAGACATTGGGCCACTCTTTGCCTGAGGTACAAGCGCTCCCCTAGTGCACACAGCAGCTTTGGTGCGTTATAGCTGACTGAGAGCAGGAGCACAGGGAGCGTGTGCCCCGTGTTTGAGGAGGGCCGGGACTGATGTGGCTTTAGATCTGCAATTTGTAAATTTTTTTTTTTCTCTAGGGCTGTTTATGAAGGGCTGGTGAAGGGCTGTGCATGCTGAGGACTTGCTGGAGGGATCCGCAACTCCACAGAAAGATTTCTGTGGCTCCCAAATTCAAGCAAGTTGAATGCAGTCCCTTTCACTCTCAAGGCCTTTCGGAGCATAGGAATAACTTTCACGCTAGCATTGCAAATAACCTCAAAGGAAGACTTGGAAGCCTTGTCCAGGAATAATGCTAAACTGCTAAAGTAATAAAAATTTTAAATATTTTAAAACTGTTTACATTTAAAGAAGGAACTGGCTAGCGTAGCTGTGGCGTGCCTGTGTCTTTCACTGGCTCCCAAACTAGCTGAGGACTACTGTGCTGCCCGTCCTGGGCTGCAAAGCGATCCCAGCCAGGCGCAGCTCTCCTGCGGCTGAACTGGGACCAGGTCCTTCCTCCTCTGTCCCTGGTCACCGGTGGGGAAGTCCAGCGTAGCGCTGGAATTAATACAGCCCCTTCTAAGCTGTTCAGGCAAAACCTTCAGAAACTTCTGAAATGAAATAACTGTATGGTTACAGCCATGATATGCAGCTAAGGCAATCATTTGAAAGGAATCCAGATGTTTAACTGAGATCAGCATATTGCTCCTTTGTAGCTTGAAAACATCCTTTCACTCAACTTGACGCCATTAAAAAACAAAAAAAAAAAAAAACACGGCCAGAAAACACTTAGATGAGGCAGAGACAGCTCATTTCTGCTCCGCTCCACTAATCCTGCGTATCCAGAAATACACAGCTAAAGCAGCAGCCGACCTGAGGGTGTCTTTTTTACGAGAAGGAGGGATAGACGTTTGCTCCGTGTTACGCCTTTGATCATTTGTCTGGCCTTTCGAATAAGATGGCTCTGCCTGCTGTATATGGCTATATAACTTGTGAGGCCTTAAGAGACTCCCTTTGCTTCCATAGCCAGAAGGAAAGAGACTTTTTTTTTTTTTCTGGCTGTAATTTCTCTTTTCTTTCTAAAACCTGAAAGCTCGAGGGAGTCTGTTGCAGTGTCAACACCACTAACTCAGCGGAGGCGAACCTTAATTTGGGGCGTCGTAACCGGGTTTCCGAGCTGCGCGCTGTTGGAGGAAAGTCTCCGTTTTCAGACAGTCTCCGTTTTCCCAGACTGCAGTCTCGCAGGCTAACGCACGCTGCTGCCACCCCGCACTCATCAGCCGGCGCTGTTTGTACCCAAACACTGTTCTTCATTAGGCTAAATTGACAAAAACAGCAATCAAGCCAGAACTGGAGCCTTAGGTATTTACAGACACAGATCTCCCTTAGCCTCTATTTACTCGCTGAATTATTCACGGCGAGAGCCCCACTGGTGCGGCGCCGCCGGCGGTCCCTGCGCTGCCCCGGCCCGGGAGCCGGGCTTGCCGGCG